GGAGACGGATCGAGACACAACACCCGTCACACGCCTGAGCAGACACCAACACACCCATGTCCGGTCGCAGGGCTCGGTGTGGGTGCATGGCCAGACGCAGATGCTTGTGCTGAAGGTTGATGGTTTATACCCCTGTTGGGGTGGGGAAGTCCTGTCAGGGGAAAAAAAACCAAAAAAAACAGTTTTTGGTGGTGCCGATTTCGAGGGGGCGGGGGCTCTCGTTCAGGGGATGCGCTGTGTGACGTAGATGGGGAAGAAGATGGTGCAGAAGAGGGCGACGAAGCAGACCGCGACCAGCAGCAGCAGGCACCAGAAGCTGTGGCACAGGTCCTGGCAGGCCAGCGGTCTGCGGTGGGCCCTGACCGTCACCAGGTTGACCGCCTGCCCCGGAGCTGGATGGCCAAGGGGGCTCCCGGTCAGCTGGAGCTTGACCAGCACGTCCTGGCCGGGACCCGGCGCCAGCGGCCCCGGGTTGTAAGCCGGCTGGGGTTTCCAGTAGCAGAGCTGCGACCTCTCCAGCCAGACCCGCTGCAGGTTCCCTCTCTGGTCTGGGGGCAGCAGGGCCACCACCTCCATGTTGGGGGGCAGGCAGGGGACGCCCCCGAGGGGGAGAGGGACGGGGGCCCGACAGAGGGGGCACTGAAAGCTCTGGAAGGTCTTGAGGTAGAGGCACATCTGGGCCAGGCACTGCAGGCAGAAGGTGTGGGCGCAGGGGGGCAGCAGCAGGGGCGTCCTGAAGGCGTTGTCGTAGGGGGCGAAACAGATGGGGCACTCGGGCGCAGGGGACGAGGCGTCGGCCCCTGGAAACGCAGCGCCCCCTGCAGGGAGGGGGCTGGAAACGGCAGCCAGGCCTGCTTGGAACTCCATCTCGAGAGGGCCGAACTCCTTAGGTCCCCCAGAGAAGGACGCCGTCTTGCTCCCCAGAGGCAGGAGTGGAAAGAGCCGAGGTGGTGGTGGAGGCAGCCGGAGGACTCCGAGCAAGGCTGCACCACGGTTGCGCACGGCCCCCGATCCACGCTGCAAACCGCTTATTGCAGTCTAACGGACAGCCATCTGCAAGCCAGCAACCTGCAGGACCAGTAGGGGCAGCCACTCCGCAGCAGGCAGTTTGCAAATTCCTGCTGGGCGAGCTCCTCCACAGCACCGCGCACGAAAGCTCCAGCCAGCTTTTTGTGCAGCCCCGCGGCGATCTCGACTGTAGTTTACCTCGCGGCCCTCGGACCTGCGGCCGGGCTGGCGTTGCGGCCGAGGACGCACCTCTGTCGAGTCCGAGCAGGGGGCTTCTCCCCCCCCCAGAAAACAAATAAGGTACTGGGTGCTGATCTTGGCGGAGCTGTCAAAACGATGCCAAATGGAGGGGGAAAAAAAAACAAAAACGGAAGGGGTTTTTCGCCAGGTAGCCGAATAAGGGATCAGAACTCCCAAAAAAAGTCCACGTTGTCTTTCCGTCCCGGAGCGCGGAAAAAAAAACCCTTTTTGTCGTCACTCAGCTGGGACGCAGGCAGACCCCTCCACCCTCCTCTTCCCCCTGGGAGCCAGTCTAGGGCTCCCCGGACTCCAGTGGCGGGAGGCCCTCTGCCTGGAGATGCACACACGTCGGGCGGCTCGCCGGCCCCCCCCCTCCTCCTCGGGTCTCTGGGAACGTCCGCGGGAAAGCTCCCTCTCTCCCAGCAGCATTGCCGCGCACAGGGGCTCAGAGCGGAGACCTGCCGTGTTGTGGCAGCACAGGCGGCGGAGCCCGGGGTAACTAGGCTACAGCCACAACAAAGCAGAGCTCCGAGCCTTCAGGGCTCCAGCGCGGGCCTGCCAAACCGCCGCGGCCCGCCCAGCCCGCCAGGGCAGCCCCAGCTGGAGGGGGTCGCCCGCCTTCTGGAACAAAAACAAAGTCGCTAACTTTAATCTGGCAGCAGCGCGAGTTGGGCCACTAACAGACTCGGGAAGAAGGCGCTGGGTGTCGCACTCATCCTTTATTAATGCGTTCCAATAAAAAAAACCCAATGAATTATAAATGGGGCGGTTTTCAACCCTGGAACGTAAAGCACTCATGATTTCGTTTCCTTCCCTTAACCCTCCTGCTTCCGGGGAACGTCTCCTTCCACCTTTGCCTCCTCTTGTGAAATGCGATGATTGTTGTTTTTGGAAAAAACAAAACAAACACTCCCCCCGACACAAGTCAACCATTACTAAAGTTGCATTAAACGTGCCGGGAGGGGTCTGGGAGAAGCCACGGTCCGGTTGAGTGAAGAGAGGTTGGTTTTCCTGTCCCTTCACGGACGCGGCTGAGGCTAGCGAGAAGAGGAGGTGCTGGCGTTGAGGGGCGATCAGGGGAGATGGGCAGGAGGGTCAGGGTCCGGAGGCCGGCCTCCCGTGACCCCTCCCTCCAGACCCTGAGCAAATTCCCTTCCTGGCCCGGGGGCAGCTGGGAGTATTGGGTGGGAGGCTCGGGGCCCCCCCCCCAGGGGGTAAGGGGACCAGGGTCCGGCAGATGGGACACTGGAGGCTCTGGGAGGGCTTGAGAAAGATGCACATCTGGGCCAGGCCCTGCAGGTAGAAGGTGTGGGCACAAGGGGGCAGCAGCAGGGGCGTCCTGAAGGCGTTGTCGTAGGGAGCGAAGCAGATGGAGCACTCGGGCACAGGAGGCGGAGCACGGCGACCCCTGCTGGGCGGGGACGGAAGAGTTGATTTAGAAGTCCAAGGAAGCCACCCGGGCGTCAGTTACACACTGCGCCTGAGTGCCGTGCAACAGCTCCGCCGTCGCAAGCTGAAGGACAAGAGCATTGTGCCGCGGTAGACAAGCCGGAGTTCCCGATTGAACCTGCTCTTCGGGATCAGGCGTTCGGGCTGTGAATAATCAGTCGGCTTGAGAAAATCACTATCACTTCTGGGCTGAAATCAATTTACTCCATTTCTGGAAGTAATCGACTTAGATTGTGAAAATACCACATTATGACATTTTCACACTGTTCACCAAATTTAAGAATACAGAATTTCCTTCTAAGCACTGATGCTTTTGCAGAAACAGAAACTGCTGCTGCTAACTCAGGCAATGGAAAGTCCCCACTCAACAGCTGTCAAGAAACAAATCTCAGATTCTCGTCTTGCAGGCCTGGGCTGGACCTCTCGCTGTATGATAACAGCTCCACTGTTGTCCCAGCTACTCCAGCCGTCTCTGTTTTCTTGTTCTCCTACCCCTCTTGGCAACTTCGTGTTGGGTAAACAGCTGCCTGCAAACAGCACAGCTCCCTCCCAGCCCTGGTATCTTCTCGGCTCCAGCCAGAAACGCACCTTCCCATTCCTGCTGGCTGTCACTTACTGGAGCGGAGAAAGTCAGCCTTGCTTTTAGAACGGACGATTTCTCCACTGCCCCTGTCCCTTCTCACGAAGGGGAGCCCCGTCTGCTGGGAGAACTCCCTGTATCCAAGCCCGGAAAACCTCAACACCCCCCTTCAATGCACAGAACAATCTAGAGCAACCAGCCCCCAACTCGATTGATGAATTGTGATTGATGAATTCCAACCGCCTTCACAAGTACAGCGCTCTGCTCACCAGTAGCTCAAAACCGGGCGCTTTGCCATTTTCATGCCAAAGGGCATGACCTTCGAGCCAGTGTCCAAGCTACCCCCTGCAGGTCTACATTAATTCTTCACCAGATTCAGCATCAAGCACACTTTGCACATTTCTCCAGGATTCACAATATATATTTATTCCACAGCCGTATTGCACAAGAAGTCACGCATTTTGAAATTCCTTGCAGTTATTGCTTCAGTATTTGTATAACAGCTCCCATATAAACAGAAAACACAGATTTCCAGTTAGTAAGCTCATTCCACTTTACGGTTTATCCCGTATATTGATTTTCTGGGCAATGCTATTGAGTTTTAGTAATAACCAGCAAATAGCAAAGCAAAATAATGAGATCCCTGGAACCGTCACACTTGTGACAGTATTTTCTTGGTGGAATTTTTGGCTTCCGGGACATAAAATGTGGGATTCTTGTTTCTGTCGGTTGTTGAAGTTGCATCCGAGCCGACTCCACGCCAGGCTTCACTTCAGTGGGTCAGTCAGACCCTCGTTAAGAAGGAGCAGATGTGCAATTCAAATCAAGAGCTGGAGTGGGGGGGAAAAACATCCCCCCCCTCTGATGGGGGCCGGGTCGGGGAGGAGAGAGGGACAAGACCGCTCCTACAGCAGCGGCAGGCGGAAGAGGGCGAGATCAGGGTCCGGCCTTCCCATGATCTTCCATTGCAAACTCCACGTGGGGCGACGAGAACTCCCCAGGAAAACCACTTCCCAACTGGATCGTTTCTGCGCCGCGGCGGAGAAGAGACAGTGCGATCTCCGAAGAAACCCCTGGAGTTTCCTTGACATCCAGCGTTGGGTCACAAAAAAAAAGACATCACAGCTCCTGGGCCTCGGGCAGAAAGCCACAGTATGACCGACTCGTTTGTGCGGCTCTGTGCCGTGATCTTGCAGGCGGTAGCCCGTTGTGCAACGCACATGTGGGGTCCAGCACTGCTGGAGGGTTGGAGGCGGGGGGTTCATTCCCATGTCTCTCGTCTGCTTCGTGCTCCAGAATCCAGGATGAGCCGTGGCCCAAGCGGGCTCCTCTCGTTCATATCCTCGCTCGTGTTGCCGTGCCCGGCCGTCACAGACGCCCCGTTTATCAACCACCCCCCACTGTGAGCTCACGCCGGCAGTTCCCCCACTCGTCTCCAATGGCCCCGCCTCACCCAGCGCGAGGAGCACAATGACCATCTTTCTCTTCCTCATTTGACTATTCTGTCGCCGTTTCCTTATTTTATCCCAGAATTCAAATGAGGCCCGCAGAGTGAGCGAGCGAGCGAGCGACAGCAGGGACTGAGAGGGAGAAGGAGCGGGGTTGCAGAAGCTGGTAGCAGAGGACTCCTGCAGGCACTGGCCGGAGGAGCAGTACGTCCCACGGGCACTGACCGGTAGACTCACCTGGCTCCGCGCCAGAGAGAGCGTCCAGCAAGTCCGACTACCGCCCCCACCACAGACACGGCAGAGCTTCTCCAGCGCCGAGCCAGGGGCAGCGTCTGTGGGCACACGCAGGTCAGGTGAGTCTTTTTGGATGCGAAAGAGATTACCAGCCTCGGACCAGCCCTGCCGATACTTCTGCGACATCTCTCTGCCTTAGAGCCTGAAGAGTTTGCCATTTGATTGGGTGCTTCACCCGACTGAAACTGCGAAGTATGGACAGGCACGTTTGCAGTGAAGTTGTTGTTGATGACGAAGATGATGATAGCACCATTATAGGGGTATCTGTGTGAAAGCGTGGCACAGAGAGAGGAGGTGCAAAAGAAAAATCTCTTGGGTCCAAGTTGGTATTAACAATGGTCTAAGTCAGCTAAAGTTCTTTCTTCTGAAATCAGCTTTATGCCAAGCAAATGTCTTTTCAAAATTCAAATTTTCCATAACACAATTCAAATTTTCCACAACACCCAGGCTCTTAAGCTCAGCGGTTTCAAGCATGCAGTTCAGCACAGACTGGACTGCCAAGCTGAACACCTACTTCCTAGCCACCTGTAACAGGAAGTACAGTAATGCAGCTGTAGAACTTCTCTTTCGGTCTTTCAGCACAGGAGAGTGAAACCCCAAACCGAAGAGGAAGAAAATGAAAACCGATCATTCCTCGCCCCTGACATGCGCTGAACGGTCTTCAGAGACCTCTAAGTATACTGTCCACAATTCTGACCACCACAACACAAAAAACACATTGTGCCACTACAGAATTAGTTCAGAACAGAGCAACCAGATCTATTTCCAAGCTTAAAACAGACATCTGTTACTGACAGAGCCCTGAATGTCTTGAACAGAGAAGATAAGAAATAAGATCACTTTATTGGCCCTATACAATTTCTTGCATTAGGAATTAGTCTTTTCGCAGACCCCAGCTTGCTCTCCATGAGACACACAGATCAAGACGAGCTGATCCAAATATTCAAAATCCTCACAGGTGCCGACAATGAGAACCCAGTAAACTACTTCAGAACGAACAGGGAAACGCAAGGGGAAACGACATGGAGGCATATTTAAAACGAGAAGAACCGGAGACACGTCTGTACGGGGCTGTGGGAGTCGGGGACAAGACGCCCACAGTGTCAAGAAGCGGCTCTTTGAGATCCTGGGATAAATGAGTTACCAAGTACAAGATGAGCCAGGGTGGGGTAGTATCACTGCCCGGGGATATGCCTGTGACCCGTCTTATCTTAAGAGTTGTAAAATCGCAGAGGGAGGCCCTGTTGTTTCCAAGAGAGTTTTCTCTCACTGTATTGCCCAGGCCAGTTTGTTGCTGCGGGCTGGTGTGACGTGTCAGAGTGAACACTGTTTTTCTTCTGCCCTGGAAAATGCAAATGAGCACAAAGCATTCTGCACTGATCTGGTTTTCTCTTTCACCTGGCAGCCACGCTGCAACACTGACATTTAAAACACCTCACACCCTCTCTCCCTCTGGGGACAGTTTAACAGTTTAGTGCAAAGCGGAAACTGGCGTTCGGTTTTAAAGTGATAATATAAGGAATATGCCTTTGGATAGAGCTCTTTTCACCCCCGATGGACCCAGCAGCCCCACTACACAACAGATCAGGGGGAGGACCGAGAACCTGCCTTTCCAATTTAATTAAGAGAGAATGTGCGATTTAGGTTTTACATTCGGCATAACTGGGATCTTGCCTTAATCACGTTTGGCCAGGCCCAGAGTTGCTTTTCTTGCATCTTCAGCATCAAACCTCCACCGAAAACAAGGTGCGCCCAATACACAATCTGCATTTTGCTTTGCTTGGTATCCCGATGTCGGCAAGCCTTCCAGAAACTCTGAACAATTGCGCCAGCTTCGTCACCCTTCACCTCTCTCCTTTCCTAATCTCCCCCCTTTCTCTTCCCATTTCCAGGTTGAGCGTCTAACCCACCGCGCCTACGGCCCCAGCCAGTTTCGTCTCTGCTGTAGCTTGGGCCTAGAGAGCTACAGAGAAAGGTTCCCACCCCTTCGTTTGGAGTCCCACTAGTTGGTGCTGGCCCTCAACCGTTTCCCTCCCAAACTTAGTCGATATTCCTAAGAGTGCAGCTCAGAATACATTCTTATCCACTACTCCGTTACGCGTAGCTAACGTCAGAAAGCAGCAGCTCTTTTCCGTTGTCTGCATCAGGCTACTCTTCTGGACTGCCGTTTTGCTTGACTGCCAAGTGATGGTTCTCTTCCCGTTTCTGTTTCACGCTGCAGTGACTGGAAGAGCAATATCTTCTGCTGCCTACCACAGACTTCCAGAGCTGTCTTTAGCTGTACTAGCATCTACCCAGGTGGAAATGTTCTCCATTTCCTTTTATCCAGATAGCTTCAAGGACTGTTGTGCACTGGGTAACATATGCATTAATACTTGTTTTAGAGTTTTATCATGTTATTTTAGAAACAATATAATACAGGTATTATTGTATTATATAGGCTATTGTTCTTTTACACTGTGTGGCAATTTATTTCCTGTCATGTTACTCTGGAACACAATGGGCTACAGTGAACAACACTGATGTGCCCTCACCAATCTTTTTTCCATTTTCTCAATCCCTGAAACCTGAGCTCGTAAGCATGACAAAGCAACCAAACAGCACAGGATATTGTTACTTAACTGTTCCATTTCCCTGTTAACGTTAATATTCCCAGTCCTACACGCTACAATCCGAGATTTAGCTGTACCCGATTTCACAATGACACACGAGAGAAGCATTCTTCCATCACAAGGCAAGGACAGGGAAAAACCAAGAATATCTCATGCGCATTTACCCTGACAAACAGGAAGGGGTAAGCTAATAAACTTGGAGGGGGTTTTCCTGGTCTAGGGAGCCATGGGAACTCAGATGGCAAGGGTGTCTAGCTCCTGACCAGAAGGTCCTGGGTTCAATCCCAGGTAGGGGTAAGTGATTTAGCTCCAATTCCTTCCAGACAAGTCCCAGGTCCACAACCTGCTTTCCAACTGAGTACCGGAGGTTAATCCTTCCAGGGGTAATAGGCTGGCCGGAGCGTGATACTAACCACATCACCTCCACCTCCAGTGTCGGATGGTTGAGAAAAAATGGTGGCCCTTGTCCCCCATGGGCCCTGATGGCCTGAAAAGAGACCTTCCAGGTCTAGCTGGTTTGCTCACAGGGTAGAAACCTGGAAGAACTTAAAACAAAACGGAGAGGGGCCGATGGGTTTGCCAACTCTCCTGGGCCGGGAGCTGAGCTACGTAGGTTCGGAGAACGGTTCTAATTGTGTTGTTCTGCAGGTCGGTCCAGCACCATGACAAACGTGGACAGCGACCGATGATCCGCTGAGGTCCAACCCCCCCCCCCATCGGGACACAGGGGTCAGCATGGAGCCGGAGCGCGAGCCACAGTTCTGGGGGGGCCCGGGCGAGGTCTCCCCCGACCTCGAGTGCGCCATCTGCTTCAGCCAGTTCAACAACGTCTTCCGCACCCCCAAGATGCTGCAGTGCCAGCACACCTTCTGCCTGGAGTGCCTGGCGCGCATGAACGTCAAGTCCTCCCAGCCGGACACCATCCGGTGCCCCCTGTGCCGGGGGCTGACCCCGCTGCCCAACCTGGGGCTGCCCAAGCTGGACAACAACCCCGCCATCCTCTCCTACCTCCCCGAGGCCATGCAGCGCGTCTACAGCATCCGCTTCAACCGGAACAAGGGGCGGCTGCTGGTGAAGAGGCCCACCGAGGTCCACGGCCTGCCCCCGCTCTGTACCGTCAGCCAGTCTCTGGACGTGGGGCTGCCCAGCGACCATGCCGCCAGGGGCCAGAGCCAGGGCAACGCCCTGATGCACATGTCCAGCAAGCCCCTCTGCCGCGCCTTCATCATGGTGTCGGTGGTGCTGTCGATGGTGCTGCTCACCTGCACCATCATCTTCATCATCAGCAGGAAGTAAGAGGTGGCCGCCGCAGCCCTGCGGAGAGACGGAGGTGGTGGGGGGGGTTCCCCACGGGCTGCACCGCGGCACAAAGCACATTTCTTTGCAAAAGTAGGCCAAGAGAAGAGTGTAAATCGGGATGACTTGGGAGGTGGCTGGCCTTCGCGCCATGGAGCAACGGAGTGCCCTCTTCTCCCCGACCGGTTTACCGGGCGACTGGCATTTCGAGGACAGGAAAGCGAGACCTGATTTTCCTAACGACTTCCCACAGCTGGGCTGGGTTTTGACAACTCTTTAGAGCTCAGCTTAGAAATTCGAGGAAGAAACGCCTTTAACCCTTAATTGACGGTGAACGTACTGAATTGCCTGAAGACTGAAGAGCCGACAACTGTCTGTTTTACCTCGTATGTGGAGACGCATTAAGAATGCAACACCAATACAGAGTACTGGTTTTTACCACCCATCGGATGGGTTTTTAGTAAATGTATATGGGAGAGCAGGTGGCTCACCTGAGAGATCATCGTTAGGCTCCGACTTAAATATACTTCTGTATAATAACTTCATATGGAATAAGTTATCTACGTTATTACTTAAAGGAACGGATTTAACATACAAGGGCACTTCTGGAAGAAATTCTTAAAACAATGATTAAGACAGGAAAAAAATATGCGGCAAGATATTGTGTAAATATAGAATACAAAAGAGGAAAGAAATATTCTATGCACTGTTTATCTAAATTTACATACATATACAAGGCATGGAATACATTGCATGCAGTTCTGTGCATCCATCACAAGCCCCATGTTGCGGCTTATCTGCATCGTCTGGCACATCACGTTGGTTTTGGAGGGGGAAGTTTCTCTTCGAACCTCAACTGTAGTGCTACACTAATAAAACATTCTTCCCCCCAAAAAAGTCCTTGAACTTAAATACCCCCACCACACAGGCATGTTGTAGAATATATGCAGCACCTTGTAGAAGTCTTCAGACCTTTCCCGTGGGATCCCATTTAGTGAAATTCACAAAATGATGCGTACACCTTGTTTTCCAAAACATACATGTTTTACTCCATTAGACTTAGGCCTGCCACAGCAAAGGGTTTGAATTCTTGTGCGATCGTGACCCTTCAATTGTCGGATCATAGGGTCTAATGATAATTTCACTGCATTCATTTTTGTGTGTGAAGTTGTGTGAACAGCCGGGATTATTAAAAAGAAGGATATGGATCTCAAGAGGACTGAACCGAAGCCCAGGGAGGCTGTGCCAAAGGTGTCATTAACCCATACAACGAGCACACTAGCGCATTGTATTCAACACTATTCAAGCATCAGATCTCACAATAGACCGGTTCTCTAGCCTAGATCATTCTGGCCCAAACACGAATTCACAAAGAACGCCTACCTGTTCTCTATCCATTCTTCTGCTGATAGCCTTCACAGGCATTCATTACCTTTGGAACAGCGAGGTACCCCTGTCCCAGCTCACAGGTGGAGGGGTGGGAGGTTGTTGCTCTCAAGAGCCTCCAACCCCGTCAGACGCAAATCGCAACGTCTTCCCAAGCGGAACAGCAGGCCCCGCTTAGTGCGTCTGACAATTCGAGAACTGGACTCTAGAGGGCGACATTGCTGCAGGTTTCACAGGGCAGGGACAGAAACGGGCTTCGCTCCAGTCTCGGGGCCGGAGAGACGCGCTCTTCCCCGGAACTATCAGCTGGGTCGCTGGCCGCCTGGCTGCCCCCCCCAACCCCAGCACAAACCCCAAGCTGAGGGCCTTACTGAGGAGCGCAGGGGCTGTTGAAACAGCAGCAGCTCTCCACAAGACCTGCCTGTATATACACAATTCAATGCAAACAGGTTCTGTTAATTAAACTCAGTACATTACATGCAATAAGCATCTATTAAATTCTAGGTTTATGTCTGTACGTATAATGTTTCCAATTATTAATGGAAATCCCACACTTTACTAGTGGTAAAGAGGAGTGTCTCCAGCATTATAATGTAGGGTTTCACAGAGCTGTTTGCCCTGAGGTATGCAGATGGGGGGGGGGAGAATATGTGAATATTCCAAAGAAACACAAGGTGTCATCTTTGACTCACGAGGTCTCGGTAATCGATTTGCTCAATGCCATCTGAAGGTTAGGCACTGTCCTTCAGGTAC